TCGTAACTTATTTCCAGCTCCCTTAATATATCCCCTTCCCCCGGTCCACATAAACTGACGTGAGTCGGGAAACAAAAAGTAGATTGAAGGCTAGCATTAATAAATCATAACACAAACCCCATTACATCCCGTTCTATTTTCGCCATTCTTGATATGAAGGCGCCGTAAAAGAAATTACATTTCTTATTAAATATGAACCACACATGAAACGGTATATAAGCTAACTGGAACAGGACTGGTTGTGAGACCTGGGCTCAGTCAGGCTATTGATTCGCGGTGGAAATAAACATTTATTTATTTGTCATCATGTCCAGACCGTCTCTGGGCTTCATGCAGACTCCTATACAACAAATGGTGGGGACTCTTTTCTCGAGGCAAAAGGGGTTGAAGCGAGTATCTCAGAGCTCACGATCCAGTGACGAGGTTAAGAAAGCTGGAGCTATACCTGTACTCCCAGCATGTCTTCATAGTGAGCTGCAGGAGTAGCTCCAACTTTAGGACAACAGGGCTAACAAATCCGGGGGCACGCGGTAGTGTAGTTTGTTGAGGCACTATGCTACAAGCCGGCGGTTAGTCGATGGCTTCCCACCGCGGCGGCCGAGGTTCGATCCCGGGTCTGGTCAAGTAGGATTTGTGGTGGACAAAGTGGAGCTGGGGCAGGTTTTCTCCGAGTACTTCGGTTTCCCCTGTCAATCTTCATTCCACCAACTGCTCCACAATCACCCTCACATATCATCTGGGGCTGGTACAATAGGCCAGAAGTGGCCGCAGTACAAGGGACTTAGTCCCACCCCACTAGCAATAAAAAAAAGGTTATGTTGTTTAATAACACTGCTCCTAGTATAGGGATTATATTATTAAGCTAAGCACTACATGGGGATGAGAACTGTTTCACGCCCCGGTCGCCTTAACCTAGGGAAAGAGCCCTCGGTACCATTGGCTAGTATGTTGGATGGACCTAAAATCGGCCTGGACATTATGGTGAAGAGAAAAATCTATTCCACCGCCGGGAATCAAACTCCGATACCTCGGTCGTCCAGAACATAGCGTAGTCCCTATTTCGGTTCATAACAAAAATGTCTACAGAAACTAATTTGTTTTTGTTTATGTTACTGAAGAAATATCATTACATATTTAAAGTGCAAATGATTATAACTTATTGCAAGAATGCAAGGTAATGTGATTCAGTACTGAACTCATATTTCTTCAAGATTTTACACGCCGTACGAACGGTGAAAGAATACAATAACCGGAAGATGGATAAAAAAAAAGGCGTTCAACCTGCTTCAGGGAGATATTCTACAAAAGATTTATACCACAAACATTACAGATTTAATCAAGAGAATTTTGAATTTTCCCACCACAAGTTTTTCTTCAGCATGAAGATTAAGACCAATTCATTCATTCATCAATGGCTCTACAGCCCTTTGTTGGGCCCTGGCCTCTTCTTCAGTTTCGTAATCTGTTTTACACAGACGGTAGGACTCCTTGGAAGAGCGATCAGCCCATCGCAAGGCCGCTACCTACACACAGGACAAAAAAACACAAATAAACGCACACATAGACATCCACGCTTTCAGTGGAATTCGAACTCACGATCCCAACGTTCGAAAGAGCGAAGACAGTTCATACCCTACACCACGTGGCCACTCTGATCGACACATCAAGACCAATATAGTACGGAAATTCCCAAAGAATACATTTCTTCACACTCATGCTATTACGTAACGGGAAATATAATAAGACTGTCATCAGATGATGTCATGATTTCGCTCACTCATCTCTCTTTTGGAGAAAACCAGTCATTACAAATTGACAATATGAGTGTGCCTGCCCGTCTCACTATAAATACCAAATCCGAACCCGAGATCTCTGTTATGGACGTTACACCACCTTTGAAACGTGCTTCATTAGTGGACTGCGTCGAGTACATGGCGCCTATTCTACAATGTTAAGCGCAGTCTGGCGGCATCACAAAGCACTAACACGCAAGCTACTTATTTCAAATTATGAGGCTATTTCACCGTCCTCACACACACAGAATGAGCCATTCCGGGCTCCCTCCCCTTTCCACGTGTTTGTTCCTCTTCCATTACTTCTGTGCCTTCTATTTCTCTCGCCTCCTCTTCCTTCTCCACCTTCTCATCTTGTTCAGCACCTCTGTTTCCGCCTTTCCTTCGGTTCCCTCTACCGCTACCCCAAAAAATGGATAAAGAAAAATCTAACATACGTGTTTACGCATCGCATTGACGTGAATATATATTCAAATAGACTATTACTTATTTCGAAATAACTATTAAAATTGTAGAAATATGCAACTGATTTTCTGCTAAAAACTACTTCAATAAGAGCAGTGTTTGACCTGAAGGAGAGAAAGAAATGAACCTTCATTCAATGCAACCTAGCCGCTGCAGTTGATTAATCGTCTTAAAATTTTAAACTGTAGGACATTGTGAAGTTTCTGCTTAGGCGCGATGCACTAACACCCGATGAGTTTCAAACTTGGATGCTATTGATTCATCTGCAGTTGGCTTATTCAACTTTTCGTTGAAATAACACATACCTAATGCTTGCAGTCATTAAGCCCTAATTACGTGTAAATGATTGCACATCTGCTTTATCATTCTGCATTATTCTGCTTAAGGTTTCTGTGTATAAAGTCCCGTCAACAGTGGTTCGCGTACTACTGTCGGTACGCCGGCTCATCATCCGTCAATCGAATGTGGACACATAAACACCATATTCATTACTTTCACAATATTCTTGAAATTTCAAAATAATTTCAATCTTTCTATCCTCCTAAGCAAATTATCATACCGATTTTCACTAATGCTTTCTTCTCTCGTTATTTACGTTAACAACGACACGCCACTTCCGCATTAAAAATTAGGTTCGTCACTGTAAAGACACGATCTATAGGCGTTAAAGAACTACAGTTCTCCCTGTGCTAAACTAAGCAATGTGTCATGAAGGCGTACAGGGGAGTGGAGGTATAGCCCCACACATTCTTACCGTCAGCACTAAATGGAGGTGAATGATCCACTTTACGCTACGTTCGCTTTGTCTCCGGGGAAAGATCCCTGGTACCCATCGGATAGGAGGCTGGGTGGGACACAGGGCGAGTCTCGAACTCATGCCGATGCAAAAAATCTCTTAAGACCTCAATAATCTGGAATGTGAGGCTGTATACTATGGCAGAAATTTACCAAAGTTTCGGAGCAACATTTTGCCACAATACTCATACCTGAATCATAGAGGTGGAGGCAATTTGCCCCTCCCCCCAGACGCTGGTAACCTTCCACCAGACTACACGGCGTCACAGCCTAGTAGACGGCAGACTTACCATTCATTGGCATAAGAGCCTTAAATCTCATACAGAAAAAAACCTGCAACTTCCGGGAGTCGAAACCCAGTTGTCCAGCTAGTAGTCAGTCACTGCACTGAATGAGCGTTTCTGGCTCTATGAGTTGCAGATGTCTGTGGAGGAATTTGTTTTAACACGGCTTCAGAACTATGCCAAATGAGGCAATGTGGACTGCATGCATGTGTCACTCTGATCCACGGGTGGGTAACTTGCCGCCGTGCCCCTTCTAACTGAACCCGGGAAGAGTGCATACAGCGAGACTGTGGGTCAGTTGCTAGCTGCACAGTGCATTCACTTTCATCACCAGAGAACTCCGGTAGGGCATTGTGTTGCAGACTTAGGGCGATCTTTGCCTTCAGAAGGCAAGATCAGTTCCTTCCGAAGCATTACCGATTTACCGAACATTATCCAAATCTGCGTGATATATATATAATCGCAGAATAACAGAAACAAATTGGTTCCTTTCATCTCTCGGAAAATAAAACTACTTTAAACAAGTCTTATTTGCTTGAACATTTTTACGGCAACACGAAAGTGTCCTAAGTACTAAGCTCACAATGTCAACAGGAAGCAGGAGAATAACAGCATTACTAACACTGTCAACAGCGAATGTAGTCAGTGGATATTAGACCAAGTTGCGTTGGGAAGGTCTATTTTATCCGAAACACGAGAATGGTTACCTTGAAAGTAAGGCACGAGTGTGGCAAGTTTAAAGTGAGGCACGAGTGTGGCAAGTTGCAAGTCAGGTACGAGTGTGGCAAGTTTAAAGTGAGGCACGAGTGTGGCAAGTTTAAAGTGAGGCACGAGTGTGACAAGTTTCAAGTCAGGTACGAGTGTGGCAAGTTTAAACTGAGGCACGAGTGTGGCAAGTTTAAAGTGAGGCACGAGTGTGAAAAGTTTCAAGTTAGGCACAAGTGTGGCAAGTTTAAACTGAGGCACGAGTGTGACAAGTTTCAAGTTAGGAACGAATGTGGCAAGTTTAAAGTGAAGCACGAGTGTGACAAGTTTCAATTCAGGCACGAGCGTCGCAAGTTTAAAGTGAGGCACGAGTGTGACAAGTTTCAAATTAGGCACGAGTGTGACAAGTTTAAAATGAGTCACGAGTGTGACAAGTTTCAACTTAGGCACGAGTGTGGCAAATTTCAAGTAAGGAAGCACGAAAGTGAGAAGTTTCAAGTTAGATTAAAGTGCGGCATGAGTGCGATAAATACAAAAGAATGTAGTTCAAAAAAGTATCCAATAGCTGATTCTCGTATTATTATTCTTGATTTATTTAACGACGCTTTCAGTAGCTCATGTTATAAATATAACGTCGAAACCCCGTGCTACCTAACTGGCCTATATGATAGTGAAACTTCAAATATTAATAGTCCCTTTGCTAACCAAACCACGTTCTACCTAATTCCCTTGTACTGCGGCCACTTCTGGCCTATTGTACCAGCCCCAGATGATAGGTGAGGGTGATTGTGGAGCAATTGGTGGAATGAAGATTGGCAGGGGAAACTGAAGTACCTGCCCCAGCGCCACTTTGTCCACCACAAATCCCACTTGACCACACCCCGGGATCGAACCCGGGCCGCCTCGGTAGGAAGCCAGCGACTAACCGCTTGAGCTATGACGCGGTCATAAAATGAAGTGCCAACAACACGTGGTGTTCCCACGCGGTCACCCATTCAAATACTAACCACGCCCAATGTTTCTTAACTTCGGTGATCGAATGAGAACCGGTGTTTCCAACATGGTATGTCCGTTGGCTACGTTATAGCTTTATAGAATGTGAAGGTTGATAACCAGATTACCAAAACCGGGCAATCTGATCTTTTCTTACGACAATTTCACACCAACACATGATTTCCTCTGCATTAGTACCACAACACCTCTTCAAATAAGTTAAAACATTTCAACAGTTTGAGTCAATCCAAGTCCAAGTTCAAAGGTGAAATCCCAATCGTGGATCAAGGTTGTGATATCGTGTTGATTGGCCTCTTCTGACGACAGCATATTAAATTTGAAATGTTTTTGTTTAAGTTACGGTCCCTTGATGGGGAAGTGATAACCACATGATATAATATTTGCTTTTGGGCACTTCTGAATTACAGTTTAATATCTCAGCTTGTTCACTCTTTATCCAATCGAGTTCCAGGTCAGAGGTGAAGCGCATTATGGACCAAGACTGCGATAACCTGCCGGCTGGTCAGAGTGAACACCATCTGTCCTAATCACGGAAGAAAATTTATGAATCAGATACTTAAGAATTTATTTATTATTAACTTCAGTAGCAGTATTTATTATTAACGAATTTGATATTTCATTCATAAATCAAGTATTAATAATAAATAAGAAAATTATATAACGGAAAACAGAAATGTTGGAACAAAGAAGAATATTTTATAAATAATAAAAATAATTATTAGGCCTTTGCTGCTACAAAAACTAGGAGTGACTGGATTCGTTTCTAAGATCTGAGGTTCTCTCAGCGGTGGTTATGAAGAGTTCGATCTTCTGTGATATAGCGCCGTGTAGGATCTGAGGTGCTCTCAGCGGTGGTTATGAAGAGTTCCGTCTTCTGGGATATAGCGCTGTGTAGGAGCTGAGGTTCTCTCAGCGGTGGTCATGAAGAGTTCTGTCTTCTGTGATACAGCGCTGTGTAGGAGCTGAGGTTCTCACAGCGGTGGTTATGAAGAGTTCTGTCTTCTGGGATATAGCGCCGTGTAGGATCTGAGATTCTCTCAGCGGTGGTCATGAAGAGTTCTGTCTTCTGGGATATAGCGCCTTGTAGGATCTGAGGCTCTCTCAGCGGTGGTCATGAAGAGTTCGATCTTCTTGGATATAACGCCGTGTAATCCGTTGAAAGTCAACCGACGTCTCTTACTTACCTTATTCTTCGACCCTGAAGACTGAGACATGTTCCTCCGAAACGTCAGTTGGTTTCCAACGTACTACACGGCGGTATATCCCAGAAGATAGAACTCTTCAAATATTTTTTCTCTCTTAGCTAAAAATTTAGCCTTTTTTCCCATTTAATTTAAGCTTTATTTAAGGCTCTATTGTGTGTGTGCTGATGTTATATACGCACAATAAAAGGCTCTCACACATCTCAGGGGCGGCAAAGAAATGTAAGTCTAGTAGAATGACTACACCCAGGAATGAACACAGACCTCTGCTGCGAAAACCCGTATTCTAACCGACACGACCACCCCATATAAACGGACAAAACATATTATCCGGTGGGATTCAACTGAGGGACATTCAAAAGGGTCACTGAAGGGCTATCACGCTTAGTTTGAGCAGACATAAGCTGCTTTGTTCACTGAACATTACGACTCCGACACGGACGCTAAACGCGAGTGCTCACTTATCGAAGTATTGTAAGCGGAAAAGGGAGAGTCACTGAACCAGGAGAATAAGCGGCAACTTCTTAAACACTGTTCCCCTGCCGGGAGGCAGGCAGCACGTACCTCTCATTGATTCGCATTCAGTTACTGAAGCAACTCCACAGGGTCAATCAGGAAGAATGAGATGGGAGGGTCACTAATGGGGGAAACGAGAAACTAACTTCATGAGAAGCCGCCAGTTGCTCAGCTACTCAAGAATTTCCCAACATTTTATGGAATTCGAAGGTTAATTACAGTGTTCACAAAGCCCTCCACTTGTCATATACCGAGCCACATAAATCCAATCCATACTATCATCCTGTTTTTCTAAGATCCAGCTTAATATTCTACTCCCACCTACGTCTAGGTCTTCTTAGTGGTCTCTTTCCTTCTGACTTTAACTCAAAAACCCTCTATGCATTCATCTTCTCTCCCATGCAAGCTAAAAGCCATGCCCATCTCATTCTCCTTCACTTGACAATTCTTAGTAAGTTCGGTGAAGAGCACAGGTTACGAAATTCCTCATTACGCAATTTCCTATGACACAACTTCCTGTGATGAGAAAAATAAATAATCTCGTGTCGGCAAATCTGAAAGAAAAGGACAATCTGCATGGCCTAGGCGTAAATGGTAGGAACATGGAGCTGTCTTACAGAAGCGGGATATGAAGATGTGGACTAGATCCATGTGTAGTAGTCTGAACTGTGGCACCGTGCAGTCTGGTGTTACAGACGTTTCAGGGGAACGTACTGCTCCCCCCAAACGCCCCCTTAAAACGTCGATTAACCGACTACCAGTCTGCACGGTATAATAACCCAGAAGACCACAATTTGAAATCTTCGCCGCCGTGAAAACCACAACGCCCATATGGATTAATGTGCGTGAGGGAAGGGCCTGCCATGAGGTCCCTGAAGATGGACTCCATTCGGACGCCGAAGCGCAACAGACCGTGCCACGAGAGAAGGAGAAATGCATGCAGAAGCGGATGCATGAGACCAGCTGCACTAGAGAGGACTCTTCTGCTTGCATTCTCCTGCCCACTCTTCCTTGCCCTCACCTCACAGAAAAGTCTACCGTGTATGAATGTGAGGTGTAATAGCCCAGTGTTCCTCAAACTTTTAAGCCCAAGGACCAGTAAAGTGTGTGAATTAAAAATTTAACCCCAAGTATAATTAGAATGATCAAGTCAAGGAGGACGAGATGGGCAGGGCAAGTAGCATGAATTGGTAGAAGAGGAAGCATATAGAATATTGGTGGGAAAGCCAGAAGGAAAGAGACCACAGGGAAGACCAAGGCGTAGGTGGGTGGATAATATTAAAATGGATCTTAGAGAGATAGGATGTGATGGTATGGATTGGATTGATCTGGCTCAGGATAGGGACCAGTGGAGGGCTCTTGCGAACACGGTAATGAACCTTGGGGTTCCATAAAATGCTGGGAAATTCTTGAGTAGCTGCAGAATTGGCAGCTCCTCAAGAAGTGCTCAGCTCCATGAGTGAGTAAATATGTGGTATTACCAACATTTGGGACATACTAATATTTATAGCATAATAAATCTAAAAGCATGTTTTGAATATATATGGAAACGTAATTAATTAAATTAGAAGTAAACTATTAAAAGTGAATCATCATTGAACAAAGTTTTAAGTTTTAAGTTTTATTAAACAAATAAGGAATATGATATAATTAATTTTTACTTGCTTATTTAATTCTGATTTGTCTTGGTTGGATAATTTTTAATTTAATTTAAGTCTGTTTGCGGAACACCTGTCGCATCTTCGCGGACCAAGGTTGATAAACGCTGCCCTAGCCCACACCACACTTCAGACGTATTCTGCATGCCACAAACATAATCCTAACGGTCACACTCTGGGGAAACATGCGATAACCTCGCCCAGTGAAGAATCGTGGACTCCTGTCCCTGCGGTGAGGTGCTCACAGCGGCGGTTATGAATAGGTCCATTTTCTAGGACACAACGCCGTGTAGTTAGCAAACCTTCAGGGAAGTTGAGTAAGCCAAGAAAGAAATCAGCATGAAGCAGCCAGCAAGACGCAAGCAAATTCTACTAGCTGGTTGTCTGCTTACTCTTACATCCTGGAAGATAGGGACATGTTCTCGGAAATATCGGTTGACTTTTACCGGACTACACGGCGGTATATCCCGGAAGACAGAACTCTTCAGATGGTCAACAGAACACACTACAGGCAGAAGCCACAATACACAATACTCCTATGATTGGGACAAACAGATCATCCACCATCAGATAACGGCCGTCATCTCTTACTTTAAAGAGTAATGTCATGAAGATGTACCGTACTATTTAATTAATGAAGCACTATGCAGTGAAAACANGGCCGAACTAGCTGGCTGAGTCGGGACTGATGGCACGCACCAGTACCGGTAGGGTATAGAGACTGGTAGAATATCACAGGGGGACGCACAATGGACCAATATCTGGTCTAAGTGCATGGGGAAACCCACTCTCTCCAATAACAACAACAACAACAACAACAACAAGACGCAAGCAAGTTCTACTAGCTGGTTCTCTGCTTACGCTTGCATCCTGGAATATAGGGACATGTTCTCGGAAATATCGGTTGACTTTTACCGGACTACACGGCGGTATACCCCGGAAGACAGAACTCTTCAGATGGTCAACAGAACACACTGCAGGCAGAAGCCACAATACACAATACTCCTATGACTGGGACAAACAGATCATCCACCATCAGTTAAGGCCCAGTCATCTCTTACTTTGAAGCATAATGTCATGAAGATGTACCGTACTATTTAATTAGTGAAGCACTATGCAGTGAAAACGTAGGGGGGAGTGGAGGTATAGCTCCACTATTCTTGACCTCGGCAATAGATGGAGACGAGTGATCAGCTTCACGCCTCTCACTATATGAGAAAGGGAAGTTTAATTGTTCTTAATCTTGACACTAACGGGTGGCGTGGGGTCAGCTTCACACTCCGTTCGCATTACCCCCAGTATCCGGTACACAATACGCTGGATGGCAATCGCATCCGGTCCGAGACAGGTTGCGAAGAACTAATTGCCTACTTTCGTCTGATAAGACGTGGACCGTATAGAAAGCGACGCCTCCAACAATTATTCGTTGCCGCAGGAACATGTTTACCGGGCCGTCACCTAGCAACGATATGGAGATACACACACCGACCCACAGACTCTCCTTTAATGCCACACGGACCTCACAGAAAATGTGTCCAACAACTCTGCCATTTTTACATGTGTATTCGTTGTCACGGTAATATTTTTACCGAGCCGTTGCCTAACAACGATAGAGGGATACACACACAGGCACACAGAACGATGGACGGGATTTATGAAGTAGGCCGTTGAGATGGGCTCAGGTGCC